TCATTGTTGTTTGGCGGGTCCGAGCTGGGGATTCAAACCCACCACCTTAGGTGTACGTGGCTGGCGCCTTAGCAGGTTGAGCCATAGGCGCTGAGCCAGAAGCTATAATTCTTACTTGGGCTCACGTCAATGTTTTCCAGCAGCTGTATTAAACCCAGAGGGAACTCTGAGCAGTCCCTGCATGTGAGATGGGACGTGCACTCCACACCACTTATGACCACACCCCAGGTGAATGAGGGCCTCACTGACCTTCAGCAGTCCTCCCACCTAGGCCTCCTGGAGAACCAGGATCACATACACCAGCCACCACCCCCAGCCTTGACTAACAGCTTTAACCTATGAATCATACGTTACAATTTTAATTTCAACAACTACAAAATGATTAGATCTATAACAATCCTAACCTTAAAGCTGAAAGTCACCGAGAAAAAGCACACTCAGAATATAAAAGATACAGGATATAAAAGGCTCAAGATCAAGACTCAGTCTTGCAAGCCAGTACACCCAGCAAGGTACGTGCAACCTCAAGGCCAAACAGGCAGACAGGTTGTGTTCACCAATGATTACACAAGAATACAGTTTGATAAAAAACAGGTCACACGTCTCTGAAAAGACAACAGAACTTGCCTTCTTCGCAGTTCGAGGCATCCTGGGCCCCTGTGTATCTTTTTCCTTGGATTCCAGAATTTTCAGCTTCTTTTTTTCTCTGATTTGTTTTGCCAGCTGTCGAATCTCCACCATCTCTTCATCCTCACTCTCAGACTCACTGTCATACTCTCCTGCTGCTGTTCTCAGCTCTTCTTCTTTTTCCAACTCTTCCAATTTCTTTAAAAATACAGTTGTAATTAAAATTAAGAGTGAAAAACCCTAGTCAGTGCGTATGTCAGCTTGTGTAATGAGTCTATGAAGACAGTGCCATGATTGGGTCCCCAGAGGCCCTATCTTCATGCAGTGCTCGTGTCAGGACCCTGCAAGGGAGGCATATGGGCACCAGCAAACAGCACCCAGCAACTGTTCCAAGCCACACAAGCTCCATGGCCACCTGCAGAGATCAGCTCCCGCATTCCCTGAAGCCTTCAACAGATGCATGAAATAAATTCAGTTCTGAGAGAATCTGAATTTGAACAATAACCATTTATCCATTCTAGTATCATTGCAAACATAACCACACTGGGCACAAAGTTAGTAAGATGAAAATGAAAACCTGCCATGGGCACATGTGTCAGATCCTAACAAACCCCCTAGACAAGGGCCTCACAGGCCATTGTGCCCACGTCAGATTCATGTGACAGGCAGAGGTGGGGCTCTGAGGGAGGCTGGGCCGCTGCCCTGGCAGGCAGCTGTGCCATGGCAACGAGGGCTGGAGGTGGGTGGGCCATGGTGGCGTAGGGATCACACCAAGGGCCACGCCCAGGACCCAAGTGAGTCACAGTGCTGCCCCCAACTCAGCCTCCAGAGCAGAAGTGAGACTGAGGTGAAGGTGAGGAGCTTGGGAGACAGCACTGAAACCTGAAAGGAATGGAGAAGAGTATGCAGGACAGATGGGCATAAATGGAGGACATAAAGGACTTTTTCAAAAAGCTCAATTGAGGAGCCAAAGACAGGACAGCAACTTGACACCAGATTAAGAATGTTTTTGCTTTTTAAGCTATTAGAGACCCTATGGACATTTATATACTCAGAAAATGCAAGTAGGAAGGGGGTCTGAGGCAGGAGGGAACCACCAGCAATGAGCAGAGCTGGTGAAGGAGGCCCCAGAACTGGGAGCTTGGGGCAGGGCCAGGACAGCAGGGCTACTGGGGGCAGGGAGGGGGAGTCAGAAGGAGCTGGAGCTACAGGGAACTAGGGGAGCTGATTAGGCCTCCATCTTCCAGCAATAATAGTAAAAAGGAAAAAAAAAGTTTTAAAAAGCAACACAAACCTTCATTATGGCTGGATCGATAAAATCAGCTATATTATGGCCTTCCCAGATCTCTGGTATCTTATCACATTTTTCAGAAGAATTCATTAAATCCCAGTACTCTAAAGTTAAAATAAAAAAACTACATTTATAATAATTTTTAACATTTTCAAGTAGTACATGCCCCAAATGAGCCAGGAGTTATGCCAAGTCCTTCCCAGCATGGATATTCAGTGCTCGGCACATTATAGCAGCACTGACCTGTGCAGCTTGTACATTCCCTGACAGCCATAAGAAAACCTCCCCGCCCCCCGGAGCCCTGTGAAGGTCATACACACAGGGAGACTTGCACCCGTTAAGCCTGGCCTCCCCTTCCTGAAACACTTCACATGCAACTGGTGGTGTTATAGAGACACAACCACATGCTCACTTACTCTGAAGATCCAAAATATAATCGTCTCCCATTTCCAGCTCGAGATCTCGTTCCTGCAAAGGAGAAAGAAATGGTTACCAGCTCCCTTTTATGGGCTGCCTCAGAAGCCCTGCTTCTCCCACGGGTTCTCTCTGGGCCCTGGATGGGAGGCTCACCTCCGACCTCTAGAACAGTGGTTGCAACCCCTTCAGGGGTGGGGGTGGAACGACCCTTTCATAGGGGTTGCCTAAGACCATCCTGCATATTGACTATTTACATTATGACTCATAACAGTAATAAAATTATAATTATGACGTAGCAACAAAAATAATTTTATCGCTGGGGGTCAACACAACACGAGGAACTATACTAAAGGGTCGTGGCATTAGGAGGGTTGAGAACCACTGTTCTAGAGGGAAAGCTGCCCCTGGCTGCTGGTAGACACCCTTACTTGTACCACCCTCCCTTGGGCTTCGGCTGGGGACGCACTGCTGTGTCTGGAGCCTGCTAGGTGGTTCCTGGACTCCCTTGGCTTGTCTGATGCCCCTGCCCCTTAGAAAGCTGGGGGAAGGTTCAGTAACGTACCCTCTTCTTCTTGGGCTCCTCCACCTCCATTCTCTTCCTGCGCGCCACCACACCCTCTGGGATGAATGGAGGCCTCTCCTGGGAAGACATTATTGGAAATAGTGTGTAAAACACTTGCTGAATGAGAGAAACTTAAAAAAAGGAAAATTCTGCCTGCAAAAAAAATATAAAAACATACCCAGACCATTTAAAGAAGTAAAAAACATGAATATATAGAAGAAAAACACCCTTGTATGTGCTTGCTTCAAAGCACATATACTAAAAATAGAAGAAAAACACTGTTGTAAAATGTTTTTCAGTAGGCCTCTGCATGACATAAATCCAGCAGCCAGAGAGAGAATCAGTTTTAAAATATAGTTTCCTTGAGATTGAAAAAAACACACACAAAAAAGGCAAGTGACAAAAAGAGAAAACAATACTTACAGGACACATGATAAGAATCCAATTTTCGTAATACAAAATTACAAATCAATGAGAAAAAAGGTGAACGATCTGATGAAATCTAAGGCCAGTAAGCACATAAAAATGCTCACTGTGCTCATCATTAAAGAAATACCCAACAACATGGCTCTGCGCCTGCAGCATAATAATTATAGTGCTGGCCACAGGCACCAAGGCTGGTGGGTTCAAACCCAACCCGGGCCTGCTAAACAATGACAACTGCAACAAAAACATAGCCGGGCATTGTGGGGGGTGCCTGTAGTCCCAGCTACTTGGGAGGCTGAGGCAAAAGGATCGCTAAGCCCAAGAGTTAGAGGTTGCTCTAAGCTGTGAAATCATGGCACTCTACTGAGAATGACACACTAAGACTCTGTCTCAAAACAAAACAAAACAAAACCCAACAACAATAGAATCAACTTCAAACTACCAAGACACACATATGAAGATGTGTATTCTAGCACCGTTTGTAATGGAAAGAAAATGGAAATTTTATAAGAATTATAATACACTTTCTTTCTTCCTTTTTTTCTTTTTTTTTTGAGACAGAGTCTCACTCTGTTGCCCTCAGTAGACTGTCGTGGTGTCACAGCTCATAGCTTCAGCCTCCCAAGTAGCTGGGACTACAGGAGCCTGCCACAGCACCTGGCTATTTTTTTGGTTGCAGCTGTCATTGTTGTTTAGCAGGCCCAGGCCAGGTTCCAACCCGCCAGCGGCACCCTACCCGCTGAGCTACAGGCATCAAGCCTATAACACACTTTCATTTGTGTTTTGTTTTGTTTTGCAGTTTTGGCCAGGGCCGGGCCTGAACCTGCCACCCCCGGTATAAGGGGCCAGTACCCTACTCCTTGAGCTACAGGTGCCACCCTCATTTGTGTTTTCAAAACTTGGTCAGGCACAGTGGCTCACACCTGTAATCCCAGCACTCTGGGAGGCCAAGAGGGAGGATCCCTTGAGTTCAGGAGTTCAAGACCAGCCTGAGGCAGAGCGAGACCCCATCTCTACTAAGATAGAAAAGATAGCTGGACATTGTAACAGGCACCTGTAGTCCCACCTACTCAGGAGGTTGAGGCAGGAAGATTGCTTGAGCCCAGGAGTTTGAGGTTGCTATGAGCCATGATGATGCCACTGCACTCAACCCAGGCTGGCAGAGTAAGACTCTGTCTCAAAATAAAAAAAAGAAAAAGGCCATGCATGGCGGCTCACATCTGTAATCCTAGTACTCTGTGAGGCCGAGGCAGATGGATTGCTTGAGTTCATGAGTTCAAGACTAGCCTAAGCAAAAGTGAGACTCCATCTTTACTAAAAATAGAAAAACTAAGGCAAGAGGATTGCTTGAGACCGAGTTTCAAGTTGCTGTGAGCTATGAAGCCACAGTACTCTACCCAGGGTGACAGCTTGAGTCTCTGTCTCAAAACAAACAAACAAAAAAAACCTTTAAAAAAACATGATTCTGGCTCTGCGCCTGTGGCTCAAGCAGCTAAGGCGCCAGCCACATACACCTAAGGTGGCGGGTTCGAATCCCCAGCCCGGGCCCGCCAAACAACAATGATGGCTGCAACCCAAAAATGGCCAGGCGTTGTGGCGGGCGCCTGTAGTCCCAGCTACTTGGGAGGCTGAGGCAGGAGAATCGCTTGAGCCCAGGAGTTGGAGGTTGCTGTGAGCTGTGAAGCCATGGCACTCTACCCAGGGGGATAGCTTGAGGCTTCGTCTCAAAAAAAAAAAACAAAACATGATTCTGTCTGGAAAACACTTCTGGAAGGAGAGTAGAAACTAAATAACAAGAGGGCCAGCCTTGCCCCAGCAGGCACATTTCTCAGCATATCCTCCCCAGCATCCTCTTAGCTCTTCACACAGGGACACATACTCCCCATGAGAGACACTGCAGCCCACACGCCGAACCCACTGTGCACGTGTACAACAGGACCTGTGCAGACAGGCTCACTGGGCTTGTGCCGTGGCACACCCTGGAGGCACGGCGCTCTCAGAAGGCCCCTCACCTTATCATCTCGCTTGTTTGGGATGGCTAAATGCAGTCGGTTCAGCACCTCATTCACTTTATTGCCCTTCATCTTGGTTTCCACTCGATGAGCCAAAAGCCTGTCACAAGCCTAAGAAAGTAAAAGCCAAAGCAGGAGTCAGGAAACATCTGCAGCAGCCCTGTGCCACCAGCAGGTAGGAAGGGGCCAGGTGAGTGGCCCCCCACGGCCTGCCCAGACTATAGGCCACATGCCCCTCACAACAGAGCTTGGGCAACCACAATCGGAAGAGCCCTTTTACCTGAGTCAAAATAACACAAAGTAGACAATAATCAGGAAGGCATGTGACATCTAGTAGAAGACTGCCTCCCCTAAGCTGTTTCTTTTTAGATTACTTTTTTCTCTTTTACTTCTGAACAGAGTCTATAAAAATAATTTTCACTATAGGTGTTTTGGAAACATTAAAGGTCCAAAGACACAACAGTCACTGTAAGTTACAACAGCCCAGGGGGAGCCCAAGCACCCCCTCCCTGTCTCCTGCCCGAGAGGGGTGGATACAACCTTAACCCCTCCCTGCCCCCCGTCCTATGGTGTGTATCACTCCTCTCTAGCCATGACAAGCATTCCTAGAAAGAATATACTTTTCCCCACCACCAACTTTCGAAAACCAGGGAAAGCAAGGAATGGAAGGTGAGGCAAAAAACCACTGACCTCTGTTTTCACCTTGATGACACCCTCCTCGGTCAGGGTGCTGGTCTCTATCACAGGGAATCCTTCAGCCTGCAAGTCCATGAATATTTTCTGGGAATACCAAGGAGAAGGTAGAGAGGCATTATTGACTTACAGTTCTATATGGAACAAATTATATGTTCTGCAAATGAAGATTGTAAATACTAATTGTTCAACATTTGGGGCTTATTTTTAACTCTTTTTTTTAACACAGAGCCTCAAGTTGTCCCCCTGGGTAGAGTGCTGTGGCATCACAGCTCACAGCAACTTCCAACTCTTGGGCTCAAGCGAGTCTCCTGCCTC